GCAGTTATAAGGAAACTAAACTAAGGCTAGATAGCTAATGAGAAAATTTTTTTTTCTCTTTCTGCCCCCTTATCACAGATAGGAACCTGAGCAATGTATCACTCAGATAGTTTCCTTGTGGTTTCCCTCACTATAAATTCACATCCCAGTTAAATGTTAGGTAAAGCACCGGGGGGGGGGGGGATAAACTGGGAGTTCGAGATTTGCAGATACTGACTGGTATATATAAAGTAGATATACAAGTTTATACTGTATGGAATGGGGAAATATATTCAATATCTTGTAGTAGCTCATGGTGGAAAAGAATATGAAAATGAATATACGTATATTCATGTATGACTGAAGAATTGTGCCGTACACCAGAAATTGACACAACATTGTAAACTGACTATAACTCAATAAAAAAAAATTAAGAAAAAAAAAAGTTAGGTAAAGCAGAGTCACATACCCCAGGTACATATACTACTAGTTGTACAAAGGAGAAAAAAATAGGTAAGGGAAAAATGTTCTTCATTCCAACATTGCAAAATGAACTGCACCATTCCTATATTTATTTTTCCCTTCCTGCATTCACTCATTAATATTTATCTAGCATTCACTATGAATAGGACATTGTTCTAGTAGGTGTTGGAGATAACAACAGTGAATAAAGAAGTATATGAATGATGATACATAAAGAAATATATTTTTAAAAGAAGAAAAACTAATACAACATTTTAAATAAACTATGCCTCAATAAATTTTTTTAAAAGAAGATAGGAAAATAAATATTGCAACTCTTTGAAAATGAGAAAATACTACAAGACTCCTTTGTTACCATTTTTATCACAAGAGCATCTGGATAATTCTTGTGAACCATGATTAAAACAGCTGCTTTTTTCCTACACACAAAAGAAAACATACCTTAATAGACTTAGAGTTGCAAAGCAATTTTCACTGGCAAAGTTTCTCACTTAAAGATATTTGCAGAATTCTGTTAATCTACAACTTGACACTTCTCAACTTTCATTCAGTCACAAATGCAGAAAGGAACACCCTATAATTCACATTAGCTTTTCCAATAAATCAATCGATTTAGCCTATACAGTGTTCTAATTCAACTTCTATTTTCTCCACCAATAAATCTCAAGTTTCATTTCCACAACCAGTCATCGGCCGGAATGAAAGATTTAAGGAAGCTTCAGCATGGTAGTTGTTGAGTAAGCGCTCTGATACATTTCCACACTATAAACATTTAATGAGACTTACTCCCAACAGAGTATTTATTTACATCAATTTATTTCATAGTATTATATTTGCAGAAGTGAGATAGAGCAAAGGTTATTTTGGATCCTTTACCAAACAGCTTCCTATAAATAAAGAAAAGTGCAACCATTTAATTTACAAAATAATTTAAAAAGGCAAAATGCTCAATAAATTCTGCTTTATCTAGTTCAGACAGCCTCGGCAGCTATTTGTAACTTGGATATAAAATGCGTATAAAATTTAGGCATCTTGTACCAGCTTGTCATCACTAGCTTTGACTAGAATTTCAAAGGCTGTTGAGACAGTATTAGGATTCTGGGAAATATCATTAGGATTCCCTCCTGTCTTGTTCAGAAGTGAGTCAGCCAGTTACGTTAAGAAAGGGAAGACTCCATCACTATGCCTATGCCCATCCCCATTAAAACTACATACATACACGAACACACACATACAGATACACAAGAACATACATGCACACTTTCTCCTTCTCTCCAACCACTGCCATTTCTTGCCTGTAGCAGCCACTTTCAACTAAAATGAGAAAAGAGAAGTCCCAGAAAGAGGACAACTTGGAAATCTTCGGTCTTCTTCTATAATCCTAAGAATACAGAATAAAGTGTCTGGGATAAACTGGTCCTCTTATGCAAGCATCCCCTGACACAATTCTGTTTACACTATGAAAAATGTGATATCAAATCCTATATGTCCACTCTTGCAAATTTCACCTCGCCATACTAGTCATTCCACAAATACAGACTACTTCTACTTAAATGACCCAGGTACCCAGAAAATAACTTTTCACTAAAAAGTTATGCCATCTTTTGAACTGAGTTACATTTATAATTTCTCTGATGGTTCCAACAGACTAAGAATCTCAGCATAAATTTTGTTGAATTTTGATTAAGCACATTAAGTTCTATCAGTGAGGATTCAATATAGTATGGGAGTTAGAAATATCTTTTGGAGTCAGAGAGACTAGATTCATATCCTGGCTACTACCATTCACTAGCCTTCTGACTTGAACAAGTTATATAATTTATATGTCTCAGTTTTATTTTCTGTAAAACAAAAATAAAAATACTTATAGAGACACTAAAATAGTTAAGTGATAAATTTATGTTAGGTGTTTAGCTATCAAGAAATGTTACTTATTAATGTATGGGGGGGCTAATATTCTGCTAGTATAACTGGTATAAAATTAGAAACATAATCTTGCCCACAAGGAGTTTTCAATCTTATTATGAAGACAAGATACTCATCTAATAGACAAATTTACTGAGTGTTCATTACACGGGGCCAATGATGATGGTATATTACTAAAGAATCACTACTAATCTACCTTATTTAGACAAAAAGGCCCTAAAATTTTCATATAGATGCTCATAATCAGGAATTTAATAACTTTTTTCATTGATGCCAATAAAGAACTTAATAAAGTTAGATTAGAAGAACTGAAGGTAACAGTTTAAGACATATAACTAAAGGAAAAGCATATGGAAAGGTTATTTTAAACATAAATGAACTAGGTATCTAATAAGTTTATTGTGAAAGTAATAATATTAGGACCTATATAGGAATTATATATTATATACTTAGTTTATTTTTAAGTTATCAGTAAAACTTTAGTAATTTTAATTTA